TGTTCCAAAAGAGTAGATACCTACTGTTTCAACGCTGTTGTACTCTTACAAGTTAAAAGCAAACTTTTCTAGAAGATCATTTAAAAACATTAAATTCTGAGAAATTGGTCAGATCAAGTCAATTTCCAAGGAGGCTCTCTGAAGTATTAAAAAAAATTAAGCCACTAAAGTTTCTCCTGCAGTGGAGGCACTGTTTTGCCCACCATAAAGAAAGCTACAATATTAGTTGAATGAACCAGCTGAGATTAGACCTGCCAATTCAGGTTGTTCCCTTCTTCCTGAAGGGATGACTACACACTGCATTGACAGGACTGGATTAACTGTCCACACGTACTTGTTTTACAGCAGTTTCAAGTCATGTTTAATTTCTAGCTCTGAAAATGCCAAGTTTTACTTGAACTAGATTAAAGTTTTATCACATTTACAATATTTGTGAGTTTCATCACCATGGCATCTGAGCCTCAAGTTTCACCTAAGCTAAAATCTGAACATACTAAAATAGCCTGATAGAAAAGTTCTTCAGAAAACCCAAGAGATCAGAGCAGCAGATACCTAGCATTTATTTTATAACTCTCAACGGGGCAACAGAAAAATTGAGTGTGTAAGATCTCCCTAATCCAAGAACTATAGTCTGTTCAATCAGACCAGAGTAATAAATAATACCTAGTTAGAACTCTTTGGGCTTGCGTAGCAGGTTCTATGTTACTAAGTGAGAAACTGGAGCCCCATTACCAGTCCTGACCTCTTGATGCCTGCAAGAGGAGCAATGAGAAATCAGGGGAACTTTAACCATGTCATTCAGTAAAAATTTCTCAAGATGATTAAAGAGAAACACTAGCAGGCTTTAAGTCAGAGGTGGGCAAACTACGGCCTGCGGGACCGTCCTGCCCGGCCCTTGAACTCCTGGCCCGGGAGGCTAGCCCCCGGCTCCTCCACTGCTGTCTCCTTCTCCCCCGCAGCCTCAGCTAGCTCCTCCTCCGCCAGCGCAATGCTCTGGGCAGCAGGGCTGTGAGCTCCTGGGGCAGCGCAGCTGCAGAACCCAGCCTGACCCGGTCTCTGTGATCTGTGGTGGCGGCAGCGTGGCCTGACTCCAGCGTGGCCCGACACCGCCAATCGCCAGTGCTCCAGGCAGCGCGGTAAGGGGGCAGGGAATGGGGGGGGGGGTTGGATAGCAGGCATGGGAGTTTGGGGTGGTGGTCGGAGGGCAGGGGTGTGGATAGGGGTCAGGGGAACAGGGGGTTGAATGGGGGCAAGGGTCCCCGGGAGGCAGTCAGAAAGGAGGGGGGGTTGGATGGAGCGGCAGGGGGCAGTGAGAAGGGGTGGTTGGATGGGGCAGGAGTCTGGGGGAGCAGTCAGGAATGAGAGGGGGGTTGGATGGGCTGGCGGGGGACAGGGGTTCTGGGGGAAGTCAGGGGACAGGGAGAAGGGGTGGTTGGATGGAGCAGGGGTCCCAGGGGGGCAGTCAGGAATGAGAGGAGGGGTTGGATGGGGCAGAAGGGGTCCAGGGGCCATCAGAGGACATGGAACAGGGGCGTGTAGATGGGGCAGGGGTCCCAGAGCAGCCGTCAGGGAATGAGGGGGGGGGTCAGATAGGAGGTGGGGGCCGGGCAGCCCTCAGGCCAAAAAGTTTGCCCGCCCCTGCTTTAAGTCAATGATTGGTTATTCCTCGGCAATGGAAGAGGGCTGGGTACTGTTTTGGGAGGATAGAGAGAATCTCATTAAGCAATCTGCAGGATGACAACTATCTTGAAAAAATCGTGCCCAAAGATTATGGAAACGCACAGCACAAGTCCTCAATGGAAGGAAGCAAACAGGTAACGCAGACAGGGAGAAACGAACTCCAAACATGATGGCAAAGACAGTTGAATAAGGTTGTTTCTCTCAGCTGAAGAGGCAAGATAGCTATATACTAATGGCATATCTTCACTAGCAATGCAGCAGCGCTTTAATGTGGCTGTGTAGTCGCACCACCAGCGCTGGGAGAGAGCTCTCCCAGTGCTATAAAAAACCCACTTCCACGAGGGGAATAGCTCCCAGTGCTGGTGCACGTTACAGCGCTGGGGGGGAGGAGGGGAGAAGAGGTGGGGGGGTGTTTCACACCTCTCAGCAAGAAAGTTGCAGCGCTGTAACGTGCCAGTGTAGACAAGCCCTAAGATGTCCAGCAATAAGGTGTTCTTAGTAAGTCTCCCCTCTAGTATTCAATAACTTTGTTCTATATCTGTCTTGCTGAGAACTCACCAAAAAAAGAGCAAAATGCAAATTTAATCACATTACTGCTATGTACTGAAGAATGAAAACTGAAAGAAATTCCAGAAAATGTAACTTTTCCTAAATGTGCCCTTTGAATGCAATTTAGATGCACTCTAGAAAGAATATATACAAGTTACTGAGGTGAGCCAAAGCAAACTGACTTTTCATCCTGGCTAAGAAAGCAAGAGTGATTTGTGCTGTAAGAATAAAATCTGAAACAAGGCCAACATTAAAAGCAAATGGAAAGGGGGAGGGCGGGAGGAGAAGGAAGGAAGGACAAAATGTGATCAACTTCGGAACAAGTAGGCTAAATTCTAATGCTAGATATAAGAGCTCCAAATGCTGGTGGGTCACTACTTACAGACTGCCTTGCCTCCCCTCCCCCACCTGAGTGTTTACAAAGCTACAGGCCATGAGAACCTTTAAATATGTTAGGCTGAGGGGGACTGAATCCTCCTTCACCAGCACGTCAAACATAGGAATCACCCCTAGCAAGAACCCCTATATGATCACCAGCTGCCTCCCCCTCCCATATGGAGACACCCTCCAACCCCAGTCTAGTTCACACACAGCCACCCTCCCCCCCTCAACAGCTAGAGCTGTCACCCAGCTGGACTTCTTGCTTAACCCCTCTCACCCAGGCTTTCCAGCAAGCTACCCCTCAAACTCTGCCAGATCCTCAGGCCTAACCTTCCCCCAGCCAATAAACAACTCATTTTCCTGCCAGATTCCCCCTGCCCAAACACACACGAGGCCACAAACGCCCTCCCTCCCAAACTCTCCAGCAGGGCCCCACCTCCTCCAGATGCGGCAGCTCGGAGACATTTTATAAGCAGTCTCCCTGCAGCCAAAACAGAGTGGTTCCACGAATGGAAAGACTCTGGGCCCGGAGCTACGGCTCAGTGCAGCCCCTAATGCTCAGCTCGGAGGCCTGATGCGGCGAAGCAGGCCGCCCGCCCGGCATTGTTTATCCTCGCAGTCTCCTCCGCCCCCCCCCCCTCCTCCCGGACGCTAGGCCCCGCCATTACTCCGGGACAGGCAATTATCCCGCCAGCTTTCCTGGTCCACGGCAGACCAAGCCAGACACTCACCCGGGCGGCCGCGACCCGGCTCAGCTGCAACAGCGGGCGGGGCGCTTCATCCCCGGCTGGGAAGCAGGCACCTCCTCCTCCAAGGGCGGAGCGCAGAACGCTGCAGCCGACGCCACCAGCCCCCGCCTCCCCTCGCCCCTGGAAGGGAGGCACCCCCTTCCATGTGCCAGACAAAGGCGCTCAGAATAGTTAGAGCCCTACGGGGCCCATTCTATACCCCTTTTCCCAGTGTCTTCAGAGGTTAGCAGAGTCGCCCACCGCCCCATGGGGTCCAGCTTCTCTACACCTGTCCCCAAACCTCCTCCCCTTTCCAGATCACATGGACCCACAGTTCCAGGGGTACCAGGTCTCCTCCAGCCCTTCATCAAGAGCCATTTCTTTCCTGAGGCACCAGCTGAGGTGTCCCCCTTGGAGGGCCTGAATTCCTCTGCTCCGAAGTTGAAGAGCAAAGGCTTGGCTCCTATGAGAGGGGATGTGCTGTTCCAAGCCACTTGTCTCCTTTGGCAGCAGCTTGGGGCAGGCCAGACACCTCTCAACACTTTAGGCATTTCTAAACCAGTCACTGCATGTTGTTGGTGCTTATCTACTTCAGTCAGTGAGCCACCACCCAACAGCCCTTGGGATGCACAATTTTCATGGGTAACAATATCATCTAGCTCCTATATAGTATTTTTCCTCAGTAGAGCTCAAAGCACTTCAAAGAGGGAAGTATCATCCTCATTTTACAGATATGGAAATGAGAGGTGAAAATGACCTGCCCACAGTCACAACAGACCAGTGGCAAGGCTGGGAATAGAAGCCAGGTCTCCTGGGTCCTAGTCCATTACTTTTGAATTCTGACAGCGAATCACAGTATTTTGTCTGCAGGACCCTAGCCCTCTGATCTAGATATGTGCTTAGTTTTACAACAGGCTACATAAAAAGGACTATTGAAGTCAGTACAGACTAAAATTTCATACAATTACTTGTTTATATTGTTCTATATACGATACAATGAAATGTAAGTACAATGTTTATATTTCAATTGATTTTATAATTCTATGGTAAAAATGAGAAAGTACGCATTTTTTCAGTAATAGTGTGCTGTTACACTTATGTCTCATTTTGTAAGCAAGTAATATTTAAGTGTGGTGAAACTTGGGGGTATGCAAGACAAATTATACTACTGAAAGGGGTACAGTAGTTTAGAAGGATTGAGAGCCATTGTTCTAGAACATTCATCTCAAAATGTCAAGCAACAAATGAGAAGTGTTACTGATTGATCTGCCCCACAGGATAGCTGTAATTGCTAGTGATGATCTGCTTTTTCAGCCTTCTACTCGGGTATCCTGAAGAAATAAGTCTGCTCTGGGCAGTGGAGTATCAAAACTGTGCTCAGGGAACTGGTCTCTGAAGATACCTTTCCACTGTTACAGCTCCCTCACGAGCAATCAACAGCACACAACATTTTCTTCTGTTGAGTTTATCATTCACTGTAACCAAGCTGCAGAAGTAATTGTTTCTATGCTACCTTGCTTCAAAGCTCACAATCCCAACTCAAAAGGCAAGAATCTTTTCAACAACTCACTTCAAGAGACTTCTTAGGTTGGATGGACAACCACAGAGACATTGCCTTTTCATATATGGTCCAGACAGAGTTAAATTTAAATGCAAACATACTAGATTTTCCTGCAGCACACATCTGGATTCACCACCATCTCTCCTTGTGAGAAAATATCCTGGGGAGTGCTGTTCCTCCTATACTGTACAATGCCTGCAAAGATGATGCAAACCTAATCAGTTTCATTCGACTATGGAAGGAGGACAACCATTCAATCCTTAAGGATGCAACAGGACTTCTAGTAGGAACTCAATTCCCTCCCAACCCTGTATAAAATCCATAAACCAGAATCATATTACATCAGTTGTTTCAATGTTAAAAAAATTAAAATCTAATATTCTATACAGTTAGGAACACAGGAAATTCAGAGCAGAAGCACACTGCAACCATATCTATCCATAATATATAGCTTTATTTTAGACTGTGACCATAACTTTGAGTTCCATAATCATACATGATAGTGCCACTTCTTTATGGCTCTTTAATCATACATCAATGAATCTTACAAACTCTTGTGAGATGGTTAACAGGTAACCAATTAGTTATTCTCCACTCTTCATTATAAGACCAAATCCTAAGTTACTCAGCACCTCAAAGGATTGGATGCTATTCTTCCACTCAAGTGGCCAACTCCCCCACCTAAGCACAGAACCAGCACGTCTTCCCAAACATATCACATGCCTAGACCATGAAGCTATAGCACATGGACAGCAAAAATTAACATGGAAGTCACATTTAAAATATGAGATGTACATATGAAAAAAGTTTAAAATGTTTTTCTATAGAGTACATATTTGTTGTTCCAACAAAAAGGAATGATGGGATTCTTGAATCTCTACAGGGAAGAGAGAAGGTAGTTTGACTACCTTCTCTGGTTTTCCACACTTCAGAAATCCAGCTCTTCAAGTTTAACCTGAATTGTGTGCGCACACATGCCTCACACACACACACACACGTTGGAACTCCCAGCTACTGTTCTAAACTTCCCATCTTGCTGAGAATTCTCACCAATAAACTAATTGCAAGTTTAAGGTCCTCTGTTTAGAGCCACATTAGGGCAATGAACTGTTACTTTTGCTGGCATTTTCCTCAATATAACATGTTCTTTGAATGCAACACAAGTGTTTTAATTTCATTGCAACTCCATTTGTTTTTAAAAGAACATTTGCAAATTTTAAAGAGGGGAGCTACCTGTGCTGAAAGGATAAAAACTTCAAACAAGGCCAAATGTGGAAAGAGAAAGGATGTAGGGGGTGGGAGAGAAATAGGAGAATTAGATCACCTTTTGAATTTATAAGCTCAGCTGCTCCAGTGTTGGAGCCTATATTCACTACACTGCAAAATGCATATTTAAAAGGACACACTGGCAGGTAAATTTCCATGGCCTGCAAAGACAAGTGTGTTAGTAGAGGTGATACCATGTGACCTCTCTATCATGAAGAAGTTCCCCTATAGCAGACAATCCAAAATTCAAAGTTCCATTTTTTTCCTGAAAATTAGATAGCTAATAACAAAAATGTTTTGCTCAACATTTGCACTGCTGAAGAATAGAGTAAGCAATTGCAGAAACAAGCCACATTTTAACAAGATAAACAGAGCACCATCTTCAGCCACAGCACATTTCAAACCCTGTCTGCACCTCTGTATACAAAACAAAAATGAGAATCAAGAAAGGAAAGAATGCAGCATAATGAGGCAACCTACACATGGATTAAAATATGCTCCAATCTAGCACTGTAAATACACTCCATGAGAAATATATGGCAGAATGATTTGCTTGCATGGGTCGCATCCAGTCTTAGCTTATGTTATACGCACCCAATCTAATTTACATTCTCTATCCTCTTAGGCTGCATAGTATCAAAGCTGTGCTGCATTTTTGGATTGTCACTGACAGCCAGATTCAGCCAAAGTAAAATTTGCAAAAGGTAAATAGACAGCCTAGCCTGTTAGCTGGTGCTGTGCTAAGGGTCACAAGACATCTTTCTACTTAGCAAGAATACTAAAAGATTTGACAGAAATGAGAATATTATTTTCATGGGCTATCTTGTGACCCACACCACCGAAAAGTCAGTAAGAAACTCATCTTGATTATCACTTCAAAAGTTTTTTTCTCTTACTTAATTGGCCTCTCAGAGTTGGTAAGACAACTCCCACTTTTTCATACTCTCTATATGTGTGTATATATCTCCTCAATATATGTTCCATTCCATGCATCCGAAGAAGTGGGATGTAGCCCACAAAAGCTTATGCTCAAATAAATTTGTTAGTCTCTAAGGTGCCACAAGTACTCCTGTTCTTTTTGTGGATACAAACTAACATGGCTGCTACTCTGAAACCTGTCATTTTGAAGCTAGATCACCAGAATCCAAGACACATCTTAAGTATCAAGAGCTGCAAAGAACAACTGAGTTCCAAGAATTATGAAGCGAGAACTCAGCTCACAAGTTAGTCTCTAAGGTGCCACAAGTACTCCTGTTCTTCTTTCAGCTCACAAGACATCAGTTTTTTTTCAAATCACTTCTGGATGCAGGAATTGTCAAGTATCATATAAACTGGTTTCCACCTAGAAAGTCTGGCCTGATCTAAATTCCATAGCGAGTAGTCAAGTGACCTTTTTCCAAATTAGTTGTTAGGAAGTCTGTCTGGTGCTAATAAAACTCAGCATGCTGGGGTAGCTGATAACCTGCACAGTGACCCAAAAAGTACCTTTAACGCTACCAGGTAACAAGAGTCCGATGCACTACACCTTAGCTCTGACTGCCCAAAGTGCCAACTGAATCCCGCATTGACAACTCACGGAAAGTCCAAGGGCTGCAGCCAACACTTTCAACCAGGGCACCTTTCAGCCACGAGCTGCGCTAACACTGAGGTGCGAGTACAGGGGAACACGGCGACTTCAGAGCTAGAACCGCTCATCTCCGCAGGCCACACGCTGGGCCCCACCGAGCGTTGGTAGGCACCTAATGCGGGTGCCTCACGTTCCCCAGGGGCGCCTGTGCAGACTCGCCCGACGGCCTCTCCGGGCAGGGGTCGCTGCCGGCCAGGGCGCTCTGTTCACGTTCTCGGCCTACGGCAGCTCCGCACCCCCATCGCCGCAGTGTCGGCTGCTGGCAGGGGCAGGGCCCGCGCTCTGGCTCGCAGGAGAGGCCCAAGGGGACGGGTTTGTTCTTCCCGGCCCGGGGGCACCTCACGGGGTGGATGGGCCTAGAGACCCGCGCCGGCCCCGCCCCCCAATAGGACGTTAAACTGTCCGCTCACTTCACTGCCCCCCCGCCGACCCTGTTGGGCGGGAGGGGGGGAAACGCCACCCCCGAGCGGGAGACTCGTGACACGGGCGGGAAGGCCCCAGACTAGGCATGTAAATCGGGGGGAGGGGGGCGCTGATAACACTCACCCGAGCCGGTGCGGCAAACGCCGGGCCGCTCCTCAGCGGGGTTTGAAATCACTAACGCCCCCCGCACCTCGCAGTGTCCTGAGCACCCATTGGTCGCTGCCGGCCCCGCCCATTCCCTCAACCTGACACCCCATTGGGTAGTTTGAATCCGGCAGTCACGTACCGTCCCCGTTCTTTAAAGGGGCAGCTCCAGGCCACGGTGGCTGCGGCGCTATGTCGAGCATAGGAAACTTCTACGGCCTGTTCTCCGGCCAGTGCCGATCAAGGCCCTGCCCGCCTCACTGTCCGCGGGTGCCGGATTACCGGCGCGGGCTGCGCCCTGCGAGTGACTCGGGCAATGCAAGGAAGGCGCCGGGGTGGGGAACAAGGGGCCGGGCCGCGCCTCTCGCAGCTGTATTGACAGAGGGAGGAGGGGGCGTGCGCTGCGCGGGGCAGTCAACACGTGACACTAATGAAATGATTCTTTTTATAGGACGCATCATTGACCTGTGGAACTCACTGCCAGGAAAACTCATCAGGAGTTTAGCAGGATTCAAGAAATGGTTACTAGTTCGAGGACCAGTGAACAGCCATAGTTACATTAGAAATGATAAATCTATACCGGGGACATATGGACTGCCTGCTTTAGGAGGGGAGTGAGGTGCTAATTAAGTGGTAGGTGAAGAAAAGGCTTTTGCTGAAAATCATTCTGTAATTGCCTACTTCATGTTTTCGTAAGTCTTCCTCTGACTGAGACAAGTTACTGGACTTGATGGACCACTGGTCTGAACGAGTATGGCAATTCCTATCTGAAGTGATATAAAAGTAATATAGTTGCATCTGGGGGTTTTAGTTTCCCAAGCTACTCATTAACCCTCATGGCATGTCCACCATAGACTGCATTATTGCTTAGACAATAAAGATACAAAACCTATAAGGAAAACAGCATCTGAAGCATAAGCAAGAAAAATACTGATAATAACTAATTCCTCTCTTCTTTAAATATGCAAGTTCCTGGAGCCGGGCACTGAAAAGAATCCATGGAAGGTAGATCGGGGATGTAAATTGCACTAAGTATCTTAGTGAAGGGCTAAAGATTTAAATTTCTGACCTTGGATAGCAGAGTGATATGTTTACTGATAGCCTGCATACTTTGCTATTCCTTACTAGGAAAACAGTTTAAAAACAAACAAATCTATAAAATGAACTAGTCAACAAATGAGGAAGTGGCTGCAGGAGATAGAACTTTCACAGAAGATGGATTGAGACTGGAATTTACTGCTTGAGTAAATAAGAATGACTACTAACCTTGCTGCAGGTGGAACTAACTGTAGAGAAGACTCGTCTTCCAAAGCAGACCACAACAGGGTAATTCAGTTTGGGCATGGCAACTGGGAGTGCCTGAGTCCTCACCTTTTTATGTTTTAATGTTGCAGTGGCACTTGCCACTGAGTACATGTGCTCCAATTTCTGAAACAAGTTCTCTCTACTGCCAAATCAGAGAGCCAGGCCCAATTCAAACTCACTTCCTAACCTGGCAGAGTTTGGGAATTATGCACAAAATGCACCTTACTCCTGGGAAGGGTCGGAAGACAGAACCTCCTGTCATAGGTGAAGGAGTTTCTGCAGCATAAGGAGTCCTGAAAGGAGATTCCACTCCTTTTGACAAAAGGAGGGTGGACTTTAACTTAGTTTTCTCAAAACAACCCTCTTCAACATCAGCATCCTTACATTTTGTATATATAAAAATATACAGAACTTTAACCTGTTGGCAGGGTTGAAAAGAAGGGCTTTTCTTTTTGTATTTACTTTTCCAGAGAGGTGCTCAGATATCACTGTGTCAACCACACTATAAATTCCTAGACAGAGGAGTCAACAGCTCTAGGTGTTTATACTGTACTCCTCAGTGTGGTGTTCAAGCATCTAAGGCCCAATCTCTTGTCTCATGGGGGAGCCTAATATTGTTGTAAACAAGAAGTGGTTCTCTGATGGCTTTCTGAACACTTTCCAATTGCATTGAGGTATTAAATGCAAACATCTAGGTTAATGGAAATGGTTATGGTAGGAGTTTAAATGTTCTTAAGTCAAGAAATGCACTAGTTAATGTTCCCATGGGAACTAACTACCCCACATGTTTTTGTGGCCACATTTCATTCTGGCAGACAGCCTTGGACTGAAACTCCTATTAGTCAGTCTAGGTTCTGCTGTACCTATCAGAGGATATTAGAGCAGCATATACTTGAGTAGTAGTTAGGCCTGTTAAATGAGACCTTAAGATATACTACTATGCAATGTGACAAGTTAGCATTGTGATTAGCCTTCTGTATTGTGACCAACCTGATTGCCTTCTATGATGAGATAACTGGCAGTGTGGATATGGGGAAAGCAGTGGCTCTGATCTATCTTGACTTTAGCAAAGCTTTTGATACAGTCTCCCACAGTATTCTTGCCAGAAATTTTAAAAAAGTATGGATTGGATGAATAGACTAGAAGGTGGATAAAAAGCTGGCTGGATCGTTGGACTCAATGGGTAGTGATCAACGGCTCGATATCTAGTTGGCAGCCGGTATCAAGCGGAGTGCCCCAGGGATCGGTTTTGTTCAACATTTTCATTAATGATCTGGATGATGAGATGGATTGCACCCTCGGCAAGTTCACGGCTGACACTAAGATGGGGGGAGAGATAGATATGCTGGAGGGTAGGGATAGAGTCCAGAGTGACCTAGACAAATTGGAGGATTGGGCCAAAAGTAATCTGATGAGGTTCAACAAGGACAAGTGAAGAGTCCTGCACTTAGGATGGAAGAATCCCATGCACTGCTACAGGCTGTGGCCCGACTAGATAAGCAGCAGTTCTGGGGATTACAGTGCATGAGAAGCTGGATATGAGTCAACAGTGTACCCTCATTGCCAAGAAGGCGAACGTCATATTGGGTTGCATTAGTAGAAGCATTGCCAGCAGATCGAGGGAAGTGATTATTCCCCTCTATTCTGCACTGGTGAGGCCACATCTGCAGTATTGTGTCCAGTGTTGAGCCCCCCATTACAGAAAGGATGCGGACAAACTGGAGAGAGTCCAACAGAGGACAACAAAAATGATTAGGGGGCTGGGGCACATGACTTATGAGGAGAGGCTGAGGGAACTGGGTTTATTCACTCTACAGAAGAGAAGAGTGAGGAGGGATTTGATAGCAGCCTTCAACTACCTGAAGGAGGGGTTCCAAAGAGGATAGAGCAAGGCTGTTCTCAGTGGTGGCAGATGACAGAACAAGGAGCAATGGTCTCAAGTTGCAGTGAGGGAAGTCTAGGTTGGATATTAGGAAAAACTATTTCACTAGGAGGAGGATGAAGCACTGGAATGGGTTACCTAGAGAAGTAGTGGAATCTCCATCCTTAGAAGTTTTTAAGGCCTGGCTTAACAAAGCCCTGGGTGGGATGATTTAGTTGGGGTTGGTCTTGCTTTGAGCAGGGGATTGGATTAGATGACGTCCTGAGGTCTCTTCCAACCCTAATCTTCTATGACTTCTTACAATTCAAAGCCATAACCTTAAGATTAAATTAATTTACAGTTTGTGCAGGGAGGAGGGATAGCTCAGTGGTTTGAGCATTGGCCTGCTAAACCCAGGGTTGTGAGTTCAATCCTTGAGCAGGCCACTGAGGGATCTGGAGCCAAATCAGTACTTGGTCCTGCTAGTGAAGGCAGGGGGCTGGACTCAATGACCTCTCAGGATCCCTTCCAGCTCAATGAGATAGGTATATCTCTATATATTATATGATTATAACTTCCCTATTTGTTTTGTTCTAAGAAAATAGAAATGTAAAATGAGGAAACAGAACATAATTTGTCCTGTTGATCTAATTGAGTACGTGTGAGGTGTGATACACACATACACCTCTGAAGTTGCCCCAGGACAAATCTAAACTCTTAAACAGTCCACCTTATGGGAACTTACAGAAAAAAAGAAAACCTCTGAGGGCAGAGTCCAAGATATTAGGGGATGAAACTTTCTATGAATGTTTTGCAGAGGAACAAGCATACATACATGGAGAAAATCAATCCTGCTGGGCCAGGCTCCCTTACTATCCCCTGCATGTGTTTTGGAGCATCATGGCAGTCCCAGCTCAGGGCATTCATCACTGCATTGATTTTGTTATGCAGTTGGTGGCTTCTGTACTCCCCCTTTTAGGATCATCTCTGTCCATACCCTATGAATAGTTGACTCCTGTTTAGCTGTACTGCCCTTGAGTCTACCCGCCTTTTGTCAGAGGAGTGGACCTCCTTTTAGGCCTTATGCTGAAGTAACTCCTCCATCTGTGACAGAAAGTTCTGTCTTCCCACCTTTCCCAGGAGTTAGGTGCATTCTGTGCCTACTTCCCAAACCCTGCCAGATTAGGAAGTGAGTTTGAATTGGGCTTGGCTCTCGGACTTGGCAGTGGAGATAACTTGGGTCAGAAATTGGAGCACATGTACCCAAACACAAGTATCACTGCGCCATTTAAAAAATAAAAAGGTAAGGGCTCAGGAGCACCAGCTGCCATGCTCACACTGAATTACCTTGTTGTGGTCTGCTG